GCAAGAAATGAGAATTTTGGTTCTTCCTTGCCTTATAATTATTTCTTTCTGTTGCCTGATGGTTCTGATTAATATTTCAAGTACTATGTTGAATACAAGTGGTGATAGTGGGCCTCCTTGTCTTATTTCTGATTTTGGGGGGAGTGCTTTCAGTTTTTCAGAAGAATTCATAATAGCTTAATCCAAGAAGTAGCCTGTATACCCATCAAAAGGCAAATTAGATTTCTAAAAAATGTGGTATCTGTACTTGGCTATAAAGAATGACAAATTTGAGATATCTGTAAGAAAATGGTTGCACCTAGAAAATACAGTGTTGGGTGAAACAAATCAGACACACAAGCTTGAATAGAGCATCGTATCTCTTATGAGGAAGGCAAAGTACAAACAAACAGCACAACAAAGGGTGAGTAGAAGGATACAAAGAAATAGAGACAAGAAAACATGGGTGGGAGAAGAGGGAGAGGGGAAGGAAAATTACATAGAACAAGTGTATGCCATGTATAGGAACCTAATAATTTAATTAATGTCAATATTATGTCATAATCATGAGATAAGATTAAAATCTCAATAAGAACAGAAATGGGGAAAGGAAATTTGGAGGAAGGAGGGAGGCAGGAAGGATGGAAAAAAAGTTCCCAGCTGTGTTGTGTACATGTACTCACCTCCAAGATGATGACAAACTTCATGTACTGCAAACATGTACTAAAAATTTTTTAAGTGTGTTCACAGTTTGTGTCTCAATCACATAACAGATACTCAATACTTGTTGAACAAATGATTGAATAATATTTCTTTTATTCTCCGTGTTTAATTAATCTTTTCCCCCTGGACAATACTCAGCAACTTCTCTTATTTCTTGTCTCAGTCATACTGAAGAAAATCTAGGAAAAGGATTTAACCGCATAAGGATCATACTTTAAAAGGATGTTTCCACCACCAAGGGGTCCCATAGCCAGGTTGTGTCACATTCCTGGATCTTGGTTCAATACTAGATTTTCTCTGTTGTACTATTTTGTTATCATATGCTCAACCCCAGGCATTCTTTGAAGAGATGCTTAAGGAAACACCAGCAATTCTATCATCACTCTCTCTTTCTCTATCTATCCATTATCTATCTATCTTGTGATCCTGGGGATCAATTTAGGGCATAGAGCATGCTTGGAAGCTCTCAGCCCTGAGTTACACTTCTCATTCCTCCAATATTATTATTATTATTATTATTATTATTTTGGCAGTACTGGGGATCGAACTCACAACCTTGCACTTGCCAGGCAGGTGCTTATGCCACTGAGCTAAATCCCCAGCCCTCATTCCGCCAGTATTGTAAATAGTTAATAAGACATTCCTAGTTAGTGTTTGGTTTGTTTATTTGTTTTAAGGTGCTAGAGATCAAACTTAGAGCCTTATGCAACTAAGAAAGCATTTCTACTACTATTTGTTAATTCATCAAGAATTATAAATTTAGACCTAAATGCAAGATATCTTCAGGGAAAAAAAAAAAAGAAAACCAAACCTGAAACTCAGGGTAAGTGTGACACACATAGGACGCTGCTAGGTCTCTAAGGTGTCCTAATAGGATAATGGTTTAGTATTATGCTAAATCTTGAAGTCCTCAGTTTTGCCATCCTTAAAACAAGTGCTCTGTGCCTGAGTACGGGAGCATATGGGAACACCAGCACATGAATTAACAAGTGATTTCAGTTGTCCTTGGCTGAACAGACCTCCTTGTCAATCAGGCCAAACTTAAAATAACAGGAGAACCAACAGCACCATGAGCTCTTAAAACCAGGAGAAATAAACCCCCAAATTGGCATGCTCTCCCCAGCCACACTGCCCAGCAGCTTAAAGCCAAGGACAGAAACAAGTGATGCTTTTCAGCTGTTCCGGGAAAAAGCCCACGCTAATCTTCCTTTTGGCTTTGCTTAGATGCAGTCCATATTGCTGAAGAACATCCATGTCCCTTGCAGCGGTGTAACACTGATTTTCAGACTGACAATCACCACCACATCACAGATACAGTATTACTTGGCTTTCACAAGATGACCAAGGAAATCTACAAAACTGGAAGATGAAGAACAAAGATGGGAATAATGCAAAGTTTTGATTGTCTTATGTAATGCGCAGGGTTTCAAAATTGGGCTTCAACAAATGGAAACCATATGTGTTTAGAGCATTAAGTTTCATGCAAATTCCCTAAAATTATCACTAATAAAATAATCGGTAAGAGTGAAATCTGGATCAGATGACCTCTAGGGAAGTTTCCAATTTAAACTGCCTCAAAATCTGTATTCTAAATGATTTTGGAGGAAAATTGCAATTGAGAGAGCCAAAGTTAGCAAATGTTATGTGACAAACTGCATATATACAATTTTATTAAACTACAAGCCAAAGACACTCTTTATATTGTTTTTGTGTGTGTGTGTGTGTGTGTGTGTGTGTGTCTTTTTCCTTTTTATTGGTACCAGGGATCGAACTCACGACTGCACACTTGCAAGGCAGGCGCTTATGCCACTGAGCTAAATCCCCAGCCCCATATACTGTTTTTAAATTTTAAAATTTTTGTTTTTCTTTGAGACACGGTCTCTCTGTGTAGCCCAGGTTGGCCTCGACTCATTTTGTTGTCTAGGCTGGCCTCAAATTCACAGTAATTCTCCTGCCTCAGCCTTCTGAGTACTGGAATTACAGGCATACACCACCACATCTGGCCTCATGTCTTGATATATTCTAAAATTATCTTTTTGGGCTGGGGCAAAGGTTGGTGGTACAGTGCATGTTTAACATGCACAAGGCCCTGAATTCAACCCTTGTAAGAAAGAAAGAAAGAAAGAAAGAAAGAAAGAAAGAAAGAAAGAAAGAAAGACAAACTAGAAATCATCCTATTCAGTATTGCTGATCTCTTCATTCTCTTCATTAAACTTGTCAAATACTTATACAGAACAGAATAATTTTTTTTTTTTTTTGGCACCAGGGATCGAAGTCATGACCTGGTTCTTGCCTGGTAGGCGCTTGTACCAGAGTTAAATTCCTGGCCAAATAATTTAATTTTAATTTTAAATTCTTCTTTCTCTCTCTCTCTCTCTTCTCTCTTTCTGTCTCTCTGTCTCTCTGTCTGTCTGTATGTGTGTGTGTGTGTGTGTGGTACGTACACAGCCTTGTTTGTTGCCTGAGCTAGCCTCAAACTTCTGGGTTTAGATGATCCTCCTCTTACAGTTTTGAAAGTAGTTATGGGTGAAGGCACATGCCACTGGTTCTGACTTGATTCTTGATTCTGATTTTTTAAAAATCTGTAAGAAGATGGTCATGAGATAATTGGGGAAATTTTAGTACAAAAGAAGTATTTAACAATATAACACCTCTTTTAGATGATAATGTGATTATGCAGGGTAATGTCCTTACTCTTAGGAATACATGCTGTAATTACAATAGTTAGAGGTGGTCATGATATCTGAAGCTAACTCATTATTGGGTCAATAAGAAAAATGATAGCAAATGCGGTGAAAATATTAATTTAAGAATAGGCAATGGAAGAAACCACAATGGAAAATATATTTGAAAGATTTAGTGACTATTTTATAGCTCTAATGTTCTTTAATTATGGTTAGATTCTGGTGGCAGGACAATATCAGACTATTGTTTTTATCCTTTTATAATTTTCCACTTGCACATATACTCTATTCCTAGTGAAATATATTAAAATTTAAAATCATGCATCAAGTGAGAGATAAATCTCCAACACCTTTTTAAAACCCCATTGTGGTGGGTCATATTTCCCAAAGATGGCTGCTCACTATACGTATTTCTTCCACTCTACATGTTTTTCTTACAGTGAGACAGACACCTTTGCCAGAGACATGGGATCTGGGTTCCTGCCCTTTGCATTTTGGCCCGGATTTGTGACAACCTAAATATTGCCATTTAGTAGGAATGCACAAAATATGTGACACTGAAGGACAGAACCTAACAAAGATACAAAAGAGGTGTCTGAGGGTGTCTGGCTGACAGCCCCAGCTGCCCCCTAGCCAGGAGCAGCTGTTCTCACATCAAGTGAATGCTTGATCCTCCAGATGATTACAGGACCTACCTTTTTGTCTTCTACTTGATGACCCTGGCAATGTAGGTCAGGTACCATCCATCAATTCTGTTTAGACAGGATTTCTAACCATGAAATTGGTGAAAAACAATAATGATATAATGCATGATACTGTGCTTCAAGACATGTTTTGGATTATTCTGTTACCCAACCACAGTCATGCCTAGGGATGGTCAACTCCTCTGAGGTAGAAAGTGTGCTTGTTATTGGCTTCAGATATTGAGCGTCATTCATGGGGAAGAAGAATTGAAATACACTGTAAATTATTATTAAGCCTCATAGTCATTAGCTAACCAGATATCGTCTCCCTTTAGAAGCAGCATTTATATGCTGAAAATGAGTCTCTGGGTACACCAAAGAAGCCCCAGAGAGTATTTTTTAGAATTTGGACTGTTAAGCTTGTCCCTTTCATCTACGATGTGCCAATATCTCTGTGCCAATGACATGGGAAGATAGACTACAGCTAAATATTCTTAGTTTTCTCTGCCAAAGGAGAGTTAGTTTTCTCTACTAACTAGTACCTTAGTTTTCTCTACTTTTCCATGCAGCACAAACAGTGTTTCTGATCCATTAGCTTTATGATAGCTGTATCAATCTTCATAGCTATGGATAGAGACTTCAGTGGGTTGTTTTCTTATTAACAATCAATTTTCACCTCCCCTTCATCCTTGTGAATAGATTAGATTACATACTTCACAGTGTACTCTTTGAAACCAACAATTCAAAGCCTAATCTTGAACAATCTTATTCTTCCATTAGAAAAGAAAGTTCAAGACATTTTATGAAGAATTTACTTAGCATTGTTTGCTTTTCCTGTCAGAGTTCACATATTTCACCATGTCATCATTATTTAAGGAAATGCGGTCTTATTGCAACGCTTCTGCTCTTCTGTTGAAAAAATTGTAAACATGTCAGCAAAAAGGGAACCATACCCGCGTCTGAAACAGTAACAGATTCAGAGAATGGACAACACTGCCAGGCAATGACTTTCCAGGAATCTGGATTCATTTTGCTACATTCAAGCAGGGTATACAAGGTATGTGAGTGTGTGGGTGGGTGGTTGGGTGGGTACACATCTGTGTGTGTTTGTGTAATTTTTTTTTATAGTAAGTGGCTGCTCTCTCTCATTCTACATGTTCTATGTGTGAAAGTAAAGACAAGTTGGCTGTCTTCTATAGTTTGGATCATGAGTGTCCCCCAAAGACACGTAAGTTAAAGAGTTAGTCTCCAGCCTTTTGTGCTACTAGAAAGTGGTGAAACCTTTAAGAGGTGGGGCCTGGTGGGAGGAAGCTAGGTCACTGAGGGTACACCCTTAAAAGGATTGAGGGACCCTGGCCTATCTTGTTTCTCTTTGTTTCCCAGCAGCCAAGAGATGAATGGCCTTTTTCTGCTATGTGTTCTTGTTATGATACATTGTGTTACACAGAGTAACACAAGGCACAAAGCCAGGTGACTATGGACTGAAACTTCTGAAATTGTGAACCAAAATAAACTTTTCCTCTTTATAAGCTGATTATATTAGGTAGGTTGTCACAGTAACAAAAAGATAATTGACCTGGTGCAATAGCATGGAATACTATTCATGTTTCCTATTTAGGTATAAATATCTCCCTTATACAGACATATGTCTATGCATACCTTATATGTGAAGTATAAGTAGTTTTTCATGCTGCTATGAAATACATTAATAAAAAAGCGTATAGCTCTCAGACAACAATTTTTATTTCCATTTAAAATGCTAAGGTTACTGTACAAAATCTGATTTGCTATGTGGTAGTTCTTTTCTTCATTTCTGCCCTGATTCAGGGCAGTTACAATAGTTCCAAAGATCAGTTCAAATAGCTGCAATGGTAAAGGACTTAGGACGATCATTTGAGCTCAAAATGTTTTAATGCCATTTACATTTTTAAAAATATTCATCATAAAGGTAGACCTCCCGATTTGATTCACTCATTGCAACTCATAGTAAAGTCAAATGATTAAATAAAGTTAGCTATTTCAAAGCCGTGGGACAGGGGCTAGGAATGCAGCTCAGTGGTAGAGTACTTGCTTTGCAGGCACAGGGCCCTGGGTTTGATCCCTATCACCCCCCCCACACACACACACACACAAATGCCATAGGACATAACTCTTAAAATCAAAGAATATATACTTAACTCAAAGTTGTCATTCTTAGGATCATGAATAAAAATTATATACAGGTCACTCCTCTACTTAGGTGTAAACTTCATTGGAAATTATAGAGGCATTAGAAGGCACACCAGCCTATAATGAGCTACGTATTTATTCATAAGACAATCTTTTACTGCTGCTTATTATTTCATTAGTGTGTATTTAATAAAAGTTTTAAAAATAAATAAATGTACATATTCTATCTTCTTAAAGTATACACTTTTAAATTCTAACCCCCATTACTATCACTCCATAAAATTTAAGACTATTGCTACAGAAGCTGCTGTGTTCAAGTGAGTTGTTTTAACAGTTCTCTTCATTCTCACAGAAAATCTTTGCAAGATGCCTTCCATTAACCTTACTAAGCCCACTTACTCTCTCTTGCTACCTTTGCTTGGGATCTTTCACTTCAGACGCAGTAGTTACCTATCAGCCTGCACCTTCTGGTAAGTTCTTGGTTCCATCACTTGGTTCCTCATTCTGCAGTCTTTGCAATTGCTCCACCTACTTCTAGTCTGGAAAAGACCTTCAAACAACTTGGACTTAGTAGAAAAGTGGTATGATTACTTTGATCATTGATTCCAGTGCTGATTACCAAAGTGTCTCCTGCAGCATTCCCTTCACCAATCAATGAAAGGAAAAGATCTTCTCAAGCAGACAGAGGCATAGAGTAGACTCCAAGGGTATAGAAGCTTAGCTTAGTGCCTAGTACTGTGCTTTGCATAAATATTTGTGGTCATTTCTGGCTGCACCTTCATAAACTTAACACAAATCTGAATTTCTCTTTAGGGAAACCCATACATAATTTCCTTGTCTGGTTGCTTCAAAGGGTGGTCAGGTGAGGCAAGAAGCCACAAAGCCTTATTTAAAAAGTTGGTACAATCTTATTATAGGCTTGGTTTTTCATAATAGAAGGGAGGCTGCTGACTAATGGTGCCCAGGTCCAACTTCCTGCTGCCGGCTGGGCTTGCCACTGTGGTGAATTTAGATGAATGGTTTGAACTTTGTGCCTCAGCATCACTGGGGCTTCAAACTCAGTAACAGGAAGCTGACTGATGAGGCTTCATGACTGCTTTACATCGGGGTCTGGTGAATGGCACCAACACCCCTTAAGTTACCCAGGCGAGAAGTTTGGTTGTCATCCTAGACTCCTGCTCTGTCTCATGCCTCATGACCAATTTTGTTCCCCAGTCTCAAATATTTCACTTCCCAAATGTCTCTTGACTACCTCTCCTTTCTTCTCTAGGCCTCTGGACACTGAGCTAACTTAGGGCCTCATTGTTGTTCATCAGCATTATTCAAATTAGAACCAACCAATTTCCTTCTGTCACTCCTTATCACCTCTAAATGGATGTCTCCTACCAGAGAGATGTTTATAGACTACTATATGATCAAGCTTCACTACCTGTTCTCTTCCTTGATGTTTAAAACATTTGAAACCTCCTTGCTTCTGGGCCGAAGTTCAAACACTGTAACCCGGCCTACCAGTCCTTGCCTCCAGGCCTCGTTCCTGCGCGCCCTTCATTCCAGCCATTCCTACCTAATTTCCATTTCCTGATGATGTCATATTCTTTCTCCCTTCTGCGCTTTTCCAGGTCATTCTTCAAGCTGAAATGGCCACACTTCACTAATCACCTCTTTCCCATCGCAGTTCTCCATCTTCATTTATTTATAAAATGTTTCTTGGTGCTTTCTGGGTATCAACAATTGCAAAAAACAAAATTTCCTGACTTGTAGAGCTTCCGTTTTAGTGGTGGTCTTGGTGGTAGTGGGAAGGGACAGACAATAAACAAAATAAATAAGCAAATTGTTTACTAGACTAGTAAAAGATATGTGTTATGGAAAAAAATTAAGCAAAAAAGGATGGGAGAGAAAGATGAGACATAATAGTTATTAGGATTTTAAAGGATTGGGGCCTAGTATGATGAAAAACCAGTTGTTTTTCTTTCTACATTCACACTCAACACTGTACTTCCCTTCTGGTCACCAAAGAGTATGTGAGATTTTTCCCATACTGTCCAGTTCCTAGGGTTTGGATAAGTGTTTAAGGCCCACATGTTAAAAGCTTGATCCAATAACCTATTTAAAGGTGATTGAATGTTTAAGCGGTTGGGCCATTTGGAAGTCTTCTGGTCAAAAGGATAGCCAGCCTTGAGCCCTCCTCTTTTTTGCTTTATTTCCTGGCCACCATGAAGTAAGCAATTTCTTCTTTTACGCACCGCCCTTCTGAAGTACTGCCTTGCCACAGGCCCCAAGCCATGAGGCCAATTGACCATGAACAGATTCTGAAACAGGGAACCAAAGTAAACCTTTTCTCTTTTAAATTGGTTATCTTACATATTTTGTTACCCTAATAGAAAGCCATCACATCAGTTATTTAATACCAGTAGGGTATTACACAATTTCACTCAATTCTGATGCTATTTTCTCAAAGACCAAGTACTAGAACAAAAGAATCCCCTAAGCAATTTTTGCTCAAGAATTTACAAGGCTTTGGAGAGCTTTGTGCCAGGAATGAGGGACGAAGACCAAAATACACACTTTTTATTATAAATCACAGCCTCACAGGTGGTAGGGGAAAACCTCACTGGAAAGGACAATTGAGTAATGACTAGAAGGTAGTGAAGGAGCACGTCATGTAAGTATATGGGGAAAATGTCAAGGGAAAGCAAAGGGTAAGGGCAAAGATCCGGAAGCAGAGACGCAACTCAAACATATGAGGAACTGGAAGAAGGCGGGGTGGACTGAGAGTGAGCAACTCTCTGAGAGAGAACAGCAGATGCTAAAGTGAGAAGGGGAGAGAAGGCCTTTAAACTACCGCAAGACTTTAAACGAGATGAGGAGCTATGGGAGAGTTTGAGCAAGAGAGTTTTATATTAAAGGATCACTGTGGCTGCTAGGCTGAGAGTGGATTCTAGGCAGACAAGAGAAAAAGCAAGGAGAATGGATAAGAGGCTGCTGCCAATATCAGGTCAGAAATGCTGATGGCTTAGGACAAGGTGGTAAAACATGATTAAATTTTGGATATAGTTTAAAGGTAGATATGACCAGATGGATGATTAAAAAAGAGATGAGAAGGATAACTGCAAGGTTTCTGGTCTGAGCAACGTTAAGGATGGACCTGCCATTGACTGAGTGGGGGAAAAACTTGCAGGAGCAGGTGTGGGGGAACCATCAGGAATTCCAGTCTGGCCTTATAATCTTAGAGATACTTGAAAACTCAACTTAAGTATCTCCTTTAAAAAAGTCATCACAGTTCTCTACCTTCACTTAGAATACATGTTTTGATTATCCTCAAAGATTTGTTATATTGCTATCAAAGCCCTTAGTTACAGAAAATTGTGTGTGTGTGTGTGTGTGTGTGTGTGTGTGTGCACATGTGCGTGCATGTGTTTTGGAACCTAGAGCCTTCCACAGGCTAGGCAAGTGTTCTGTGACCAGTTCCCAGGAAGTAGGTCTTTTAACATTGGTGCTTTTGAGAAAGCCTGTGTTGACTTACACTGAAAAGCAAGTTAGTGACTTCTGTCCTAGCTGAAAGCAAGTAATTTAGATGGAACTTGCCCTCCAGGCATACGCAAGTAGAAAACTGAACAAATGTATGAAACAACTATATTCAGCTATTCCTCATAGAGTCGCTGTCAAATACGGTCTTTAATAAGAGAAAAGTAAACAAGATAAGTCCTACAGTGCACCAGCTCTTTTCCTGAAGGCAAGTTTTGAATTGCTGTACAAGGAACAGGAACCCAAAGAAAATCCAAGAGACATTGCTGAGTTGAAGAGATCAGAGATATTTAAGGCAATTTGCAATTGTGGGTTAGAGTACTATTTAAAAAAAAGGTAGAGCCATATAAATCTGCATGGGTC